TAATCATTTATTTTTCGCCCAGATATTATTATTATTATTATTATTATTATTATTATTATTATTATTATTATTATTATTATTATTATTATTATTATTACCATAATTTAATTTCACACTCAATTTTGACTCCTTTATTTTATTTTTTTATTTTTTTCTTTTATTTATTTATTTTTTTCTTGTTCCCTTTCTAATTTCATTTAACTCCTTTTTTCTTTTATTTTTTTCTCTTCATAATCTAATTTCATTTATTATTATTTTGCTCTTTTATTCTTCTTTTTTTTATACAATAAGAAAATAATTGATATAGTAAATATTTGTTCACCTTTTTTAAATATAACTGGCATAATATACATTTTATTTTTTTTAATTCAATGATCAGAACGACTTATACATTATAACTGTTTTCTCTTCTCTTTTTTGCTTTTATTTTTATTTTCTTTTTTGTTATAATCTAATTCTGCACACATTTTTGGCTCTATTTTTATTTTTTTTATTTTTTCTATTTTTAATATATTAATTATTAGAAAATGACTTACTTTAGTATATAGTATATGAAAATAATATATTAGTAGTAGTTGAAGTATATTATTGCAGTATACTATGACACTCATGTGCTATATATCATATACTGGCAGGGTATATAACATCGAGAACTCTATTAGAAAATTGAAAAATGACCCATTGATTTTGTTTTTGAAAAATTAAAGAAATACCAAATTTAACTATATTGTTACATTATGCCATATACTATAATAGTATATTGTTGCAATAAATTATACACTATTGAATTAAATATTATATATCAAAATAGTATATGGTATGTTATTTTGGTATATAGTACAAATTGGTCTTCTTCGCTCGTTCAACTCAATTTTAAAAATTTACTCCAGAATTTTTACCAAATTGACTCAAGCTTTAGCCACAACCTCCAATCAAATATTTCAAACTAAATATTTTGGTTTAAGAAAAAAATTGATAAAAGATGAGAATTCCGTTGGAAAATTGAAAAAGAATTCAATGAAAATTTCAAAAAATTCTAAAAGGACCAAATTGTAATAGTATACTATTACATTATACAATGTAAATTCTTCTTTTCCAGTTCAACTCAGTGAGAGAGTTGACCAAGTTTGACATTTTATGAATTTGAACCCGGAATAGAGTTTTGATGGTTCCGATAGGTCCGTTGGGTGATTTTGGACTTAGGAGCACGTCCGGATTATGATTTGGAGGTCCGTAGTGAAATTTGGCCTGAAATGGCGGAAGTTATATTTTTGGAAAGTTTGACCGGGAGTGAACTTTTTGATATCGGATTCGGATTGTGATTCCTTCGTTATGTTGTTTGGGACTTGTGCGCAAAATTTGAGGTCAATCGGACGTGATTTGATAGGTTTCGGCATCGGTTGTGGAAGTTTGAAGTTTCAAAGTTCATTGAATTCGAATTGAATTGTGATTCGTCGTTCTGATATTATTATGTGTGTTTTGAGGCCTCGAGTAGGTCTGTGTTATGTTATGGGACTTTTTGGTATGTTTGGACGAGGTCCCAAGGGGCTCGGGTGAGTTTCGGACGAGATTAGGATCATTTCATTGCATTTTTGGATTTTTTCTAGCTGCTGGTTCTGGTGTGATCGCACCTGTGGCTGGTTTGCGCTGGTGTGATCGCACCTGCGGCTGGTTTACGTAGGTGCGATGGTCGCAGAAGCGACAGATGCATCGCAGAAGTGTGAAGGGGAGCTGGGCATAAGGATCGCAGGTGCGGGTGCTTGGACGCATCTGCGCAACCGCAGATGCGGTTCAAGTGCACAGAAGCGTGATCGCAAAAGCGGCTTTAAGACCGCAGGTGCGAGGGATTGCTGTGTCAGTTATTTTTGTAGAAGCGAAGTTTTTACCGCAGAAGCGGTGGTCGCAGATGCGACGAATTGTCCGCAAATGCGGAATCACTGGGGCAGAAGCTATATTATCGAGGGTTTGGTTCCTTCTTCATTTTGGGAGTTATGGAGCTCAGATTGAGACGATTCTTGAGGCAATTTTCACCATATGAATTGGGGTAAGTGTTCTCTACTCAATTTTGGTTATATTTCATGAATCTACCTTTATTTTTGATAATTGGATTGTGAATTTTTAAGAGGAAATTGGGGATTTTGGCCTAATGTTTCATAATATGAATTTTTGAGTTTTGAACATCGAATTGGAGTCGGATTTGAGTGAAACTAGTATGGTTGAACTCGTAATTAAATGGGTTGTTAAATTTTATAAATTTTTTGGGGTTCCGAGGTGCAGGCCCGAGTTGGGATTTTGGCCGATTTTCGGGCTTTTGATTCAAGATTTGATCTTTTTCGATCGGGATTAGTTCCTTTAGCATTGTTTGGTGTACTTGAGTTATTTTTGGTTAGTTTCGAGCTGTTCGGAGGTCGGAACACGCGAGATGGCATCTTTGGAGCACCGCTTGGCTTGCTCGGCATTGGTATTGGCTTGTTCGAGGTAAGTAACTCTTCTAATCTTAGTGCTGAGGGTATGAGACCCCGAAATACGTGTTATGTGTTTGGTGTTGAGGTGACGCACATGCTAGGTGACGGGCGTGTGGGCATGCACCATATGAATTGGGACTCTGTTATTTCCATGGCACTGTATAGTGGTCCTACTTTGTTGATATCTGTGTTTTCACCATGTGATAAAGTAGTTAAGCTGTCAATCATGATATATATTATGTTTAGGCATTATGCCGATATTGTTTGGACCCATAGTGGTCATTTCATACTGTCATCTCACTGATTTTATTGATATTTCGTACTAAGTCATATTCATGCATTCATATCATACCTCGGTCTCAGTTATTTATTGATACATCATATCATTGTTGTCGACCTAGTTTCATGACATTATGAGCCCGTGAGTGAGACTGGAGAGATTGATGACTGAGTGAGGTCGGGGGCCTGTTTGTGAAGATATTGATACTATAGAACGTGAGTTGTCCATGCGAATTCAGATATTGATATTATGGCACGTGAGTTGTCCGTGCGGATTATAGTGCTTGGGCTGTAGGAGCCCCTCCAGAGTCTGCACACCCCCAGTGAGCGCAGTCGACTATATATATGTGGATCGGGTTGCACGCCGCAACAGGCCTTATGGTCATATGTGGATAGGGCTGCACGCCGCAGCAGGTATTGTACAGTGCTGAGTGATCGAGTGTGCTGAGCATTGAGCATAGTGAGAAAGGAAGCGAGACAGTAAGATTTAGTACTCTGGGAGTGTGAGTACATGAACTCATCATCGAGATGCATTGCATTTGACCTGCGTACTTGTGATACATGCATAGAGGTGCATTTCCTTCTGCTACCCGGTTGTGGGGATATTTATGATTTTTTCTGTATCTTGACATGTAGGCATAGAGAAGTACTTTCCTTATGCTATTAGAAAAAATAAAACATCTTACTTATTGTTGAAAAGGTTTTTGGAAAATCACAGTTTTCAAACTTACTCGTATTTTGGCTTTTTCGGTAAAAGATTTGGGTTTTCACTGAGATACTTGAAAAGAAATTCCTACTTTTTTCTGGAACTGTGAACAAACTGAGCCTTTTATTTCTGAGATTATTCTTTTATTTTTGTACTATGCTGTTATGAACTGTTATGGAATATTGGTGTTGGACCCGACCTTTTTGTTAGCTCGTCACTATTTTCAACCTAAGGTTAGGTTTGTTACTTATTGAGTACATGGGGTCGGTTTTACTCATACTACACTTCTGTACCTTGTGTGCAGATGTTGGCTGCTGATGTTGTTGTGTTCGATGGGAGCTGAATTTGAAGATGTACCTGCGTCTCGGTTGTAGCTGCCCCTTGTTCGTGGTAGCTTTA